CAACAACAACAACAACAACAACAACAATAATAATAATAATAATCAAGTTTAGATTGTAATTTATTGTTAGTTAGTAAATAAATAAAACAAAACAATTTTTCCATAAACATTAGATTAATAATCAATATGAAAGCTTTTTGTTAATTTAAATTTGAACTCGACCCCTTTAGATTTAGCTGAAACTTTATCATTCTTTTCTACCCTTTCAAAAACAATTTTGAGAATTTTAAAATGCATGAAATGGGGATCCGTTTTTGTCAAACTCGGCCCAGGGGGCAGCATCATAGACCATTCCATGTCGCGCAAAGATTTAACGTTGCATATATTTCTGGAAAATATTGAACAATATGGATACAAATAACAATAAATATTTTACGTGGAATATTGCACAATTAAAGCAAGAGTTAAAAAACCGTGGACTTCGCACAACAGGTAAAAAGAAGATTTTGCAAGAACGGTAGGTATTAAAAAAAATTAACCTTTTATTTTGTTTATTTAAATAATTATTTTTTGGGACTTAGGTTAATATTTTGCGATGAAAATCAAGATATTTTCCAGTTGCATACTCAAGACCCTGATGAAGTATTTTTAACACCAGATGTTACCGAATACAGGGACATAAATGCTACAACCAAAATTCCATTAAGGAGGTCCTTTCGCCGCCAATGTAAAATAAAAAATATTAGATTATGAGTAAATTCAATTTTTTTCTAATAGTTAAGGTCCTTATTTATCTAATAGTGAGGTTTAAATTATACTTTACCGGACAAATTTTTGAAAAAATAAAATTTTTAAATGTTAGTATTTGTTCAGAGTCTTACGAGAAAGTCAGACGTTTCCAGTATTTCTCGAATTATACTATCAGTCATGGATTAGATGAAGTAAAAAAAAACTAAAAATTAGATTTTTGACATATTCAGGTTTCTTTTTTTGCAATAAAATATATCAGTTACCGAGATATTTATTGAGAAATTAATATTTAAAAATCACAAAAAATTCTCAAGTAACCTACATTAATATAGAGTCAAAATATTTGGCAACGTTGCGTAGCGCGCGAGCTTCAGACCATTCAATAAATTCAAACTAATTTATTTATTTACACTGACTGCAAAAACTTAAACGTGTTTAAGGTTATATTGTGCAAATGAAAATGTAAACAACCGAAGTACAGCGTTGCCAAATCACGGACAGGTTACTAGCAGTTGATTTGAAAGAGTCAAATTAATTTTTGTATTTAACTGTTTTTTTTTTTTTATTTTCAAAATTTCAACGATTAATGCCTCATATACTATTTATTATTTAATTTTAGGAATTTTTATGGGTTTCTTTTTTTAATTTATCGTATATTGACTACTACAATTGTTTTGACTCAACTGGAGCGAAAGGATTTCCTTAATATCAAAAGATGAAATTGATCGTTTTCTTCAGAGGTTAATATTTAATAATAATAATAATAATAATAATATAATAATAAAAAATTTTAAAAATAAAATGTAATAATATTTAACAATTAATAATAAAAAGTAATTAATTAAGTAGAATATTTGAAAAACATAATATTAATAGATTAATGTGATTTGCAGGTATGAGGTACACAAAACTCTTGGTAAAGAAATGTATGAAAATCGGTACCTTATGCATGCAAGGATAGCCGAGAATAAAAATTCAATTTTCATCCAAGGGCACTGTTTAGCACAAATGAAGAAATCGGTTCAATATAAATCTGACATCCAAATTTCAAAATCTACTGGTTTCATTGATGGAACTCATTGTGAATGTGCTGTGGGCAGTGATGACACTGCTCACTGTAAGCACATCGCAGTACTTCTTTGGGCAATGGAAGAAATGGTAACGATAATGAATAAACAAATTTTACTTTAAATAAATTTTTTGACATAAAACAAAAACAATCTTGTTGCTTAAATAATTTTTTTTATAGGAGAGAGAAAAAAAAATGATCTTACGAACAGTTTGTACGCAAGAACTTCAAACATTTCACCGATCAGCCAAATCTTTTTTTGGGTCTCCCATTAAAGCTGAGGCATTACCTAGTAAAAGTCGCGATCTTTCATTGAGTCTTGACCCAGTAGTTTTGGATCCAAGTATTATTAACAAGCAATCGTATTGTGAAAAACAACGTAACCGAGCAATAAATTATGCTGCTAGTTACAAAACAACAATGCCATTTCTTCGGCTGTTTGCACCAGCTGACACTTATTGTGCAATCTGGGACCACAATTACACTAATATT